CTTTCTGTTAATTTATTCCCAATAATAACTTTTACATTATTATGAAACTGTTTCTTTAAATCATTTATTCAATATTTTAAGTTTTTGCTTGATTTGATTATGGCTTTTGCGTCTTCTTGTCTGCAGATTTTCATTTTCTGGGCATTTACTTTACAATATCTAACGAGGTAGCCCCTTCAAAGCTCTCTAATACTCTTCTATCTTGTTTTCCCCTCCTGTGTAGGTTCACTAAGGAGAATAAGGAGAGTATAGACCCCTATGCCTTCATGCCTTTCGGTGCAGGACCCAGGAACTGTATTGGAATGAGGTTTGCTCTGGTGTCCATGAAGCTGGCCATCGTAGAGATACTGCAGAGATTCGATGTCAACGTTTGTGATGAGACAAAGGTTAGACTATGCTAACACTACTAGATGACTTTCAGTTTCAGAATGTATCTCCATTTTAATCTAATCTAATTTGTGACCACTGTTCTAGACTTTGGATCTCATTGTTGCCTCTCTCTTTCTAATCAGGTTCCTCTAGAGCTGGGCGTCACTGGACTGCTGGCTCCAAAAGACCCCATCAAACTCAAATTCACCCCCCGAAAAGTGTCCCACTCTGAAGACCTCTGCAACAACAACCATTCTAGCTCATAGGCTCCTTGTACATGTGGACACCTCATACTTTTCTACAGCATTACCTCATTTTCTAGATGTTCTTCAAGTGTAACAGTTTATAGGAAGAAAAGTCCATATTAAACCCAAATTCATAATAATATATTGGTAATGTCATCTTTTTTTATTTGTATTTATTCTTGTGGGTGTTTCATTGACCTGCTTATACTCTACAGTTCTCCATATCTGGATGACTACTACTTTGCAGAAAAAGTAACCGAAGATTTTGGTTTATTTATGTATAAATTCAAAGACATTTAAAGAGGATTCAGTAGTAATTGTATCATTGAGATATATGGCCAAGCACAGAGCTACTGTTTTTACTCAGTTAATGAACCAAACATACGATTCCTGTACAAACATGCAGACGTAAATATGTCAACATTGTAAAGCTGCAGTTTTGACTGCATTTTCCACTGCAGCAGCATCCTACATCTCTTATTGATCACCTTATAAAATATAGAGTAGTCGTTACATCGAAAGTAGTAAGCGAGTAAAATATTATTCTGATTTCTTGATAGTGCTGTCAATATGGTGCCGCAGAAAAAGTTTCAAACTTTAATAAGTCATAACTTTTGAAATTATGGATGCTAGATGCATAAAACTTGCAGCGGTTTAAGTTTTGCTTTAAGTTTTGTCTTGCTACCAAAACACAGAAGACACAAATACATGTTTGCCATTTTATTACTTTCCGCAAATCTAGAAAATGATTGACTTTTTTCACATGGGGAGCAAATGTCAAACTGTGGCATGTGCTACTCATTCCACAGTATAATTTTGTCAGATAAGTTTTGGTCTTAAAGCAGTAAAGCTTTCTCAATTATGAGATGTTAAAAAAAAAAATCATAGATATGTCATTGTGCCCAGCAGACAGGCAAAATTTTAGACTTTAAAAGTGCTAATGGCCTTTTTGACTTGAAATAAGGGCTAAAAACTGTAATAAGTCATATCTATTGAACTATTTATGCTGGATGCATGAATTGTGCAGGAAATATTCTCTGGTTTTCAGTGTGTTTACCAACCAGAACAGATCATTTATAATATTGAATAGATGTTCATTAGCTATTTCAGTGTAAACTGCAGTAAATGTGTAGTCAACTTGTCCCTCTGTATCTCCACTCTGAAGTGTGCCAGATCTTTAATATTTTTATACTTTTTACTCACATCTGTACTTTTATATTAGGTATTATTTATAAAGTAATAAATATTTCTTTTTTTTAACTTTTAAGCTATTAAAAATTAAAACAAAATGTCGATCTGTATGAAATGATGAGAAATCGCCCTCAGACATGCTTAATACTTTCAGGAACTAAAGTGTGTCCAACAGACGAGTATGTCCTCGTTAGTTTCTGAGAGAGATGCTTTTGGGATTGAAAAAATGCTAAAGCTCTAAAGTACGGTGGCAGACAAGACCTTATTCATAGTTCAATTGAAAACACTTTGCAAACTCAAACGCACTGCAAACACAAAAAACACTTTCGTCAAAATGACCACGTGACCAAAGAATCCATACTGTGATTGGAAAATGAAGCCTATTCTTTTGTTATGAAAGAATGAGTTATTAAAAACATCATTAACACAGGCTGATTGTCTACAGTGCCCTCTAACAAAGACTGGCAACCTGGTAAACGTTCTTTTTGATCTTACATTCAACATATTAGCACAATTCTAACCTTTATTTGAAGAATAATGATTGAAAGAAAAAAAAACTAAATCTTATTATTAAATAAAGATTTTGCCACAGTTGTTGGTTCCCCTTCTTGTACCCCCATTATAGGAGTCTCTCCTATAATGCTTAATGGGACTGGAGAACACATGGCTCAAGGATCTGAGACGTTCCTCCAAACAGAACCTCTCCAGATCCTTCAGATTCTGAGCTCCACACTGTGGACTCTCCTCTTCAGCTCATCCTACAGGTCTTATATTGGGTTTAGGTCAGGGGCTGATTCTAGCCTAACTAAGGGGATGAATTCTGTGGTCAGTGAACTATTTCTGAGTTGATTTTGATATGTGTTTTGGATCATTGTACTGCTGGAAGATCCAAACTATGGCCCAGTTTGAGCTTCCTGGCTGAGGAGGTCAGGTTCTGATTTAGTTTCTGCTGGTACTGGATGGTCTGTGAGACTATGAATCAGGACAAGTTGTCCAGGGCCTTTTGAAGAAAAACAGCCCCACAGTATCACAGATCCACCACCATACTTCACTTTGGGGATGAGGTACTTTTCTGCATGGCAGTCTTTCCACTCCAAACTCACCTCTGCTGTTTGTTGCCATAAACCTCTCTTTTGGTCTCATCTGACCACAGATCACGGTTCCACTGAAAGTTCCAGAACATATGGCAAACTGTAGGAGCTGGAGTTTATTGCTTCTTGACAGCAGAGGCTGATGAAGGCAGTGAGAGTCAGCGCTGTACAGTTCAGTCTGCCGTCTGTTTTCCTCTCCGTCACTCTGTTTCTCCTCCTTTCTCTGGCCCCAGATCGAAATGTCTGCTGTGTATGAATCCCAGCAACCAAACCGCTGAACTCTCTTAACCTCTCAGCCTTGTTCTCCACAACAACAGCTCTGTAAGAGGGAGCTCCTGTATTTCCTGTTCCAGCTGAGACGTTCTCCGTGTGTCTTTGGAGGAGATCAGATTTACAGTGTTTCTGCATCAGCTGTACAGTTTAACTACAGAGACTGAAGAGCTTCTAAACAGAGGTGGAGAAAAACGTTGCTGCTGAATCACTGGCTACATTAGTATGCTTTACATTTTATATGCAATAATAACTTACATAATGTAGATTAAGTCTCATAAACTTAAACCAAAAAAGACATTTTATTGTAGTAATATTTAAAGTATTCTGGGATCAAAAAGAATTTATTCCAGAAATCATGTAAATCATTTACTGTAGTTCTGTTTACAGTAATTGGCAGATTATTATCTAATTTTATTAGAACTTCGTTCTGTATGGTAGTTTTATTAGAAATTTATTCTGGATGTTAATTTTATTAGAACCTCGTTCTGGATGTTAATTTTATTAGAACTTCATTCTGGATGTTAATTTTATTAGAACTTTATTCTGGATATTAATTTTATTAGAACCTCGTTCTGGATGTTAATTTTATTAGAACTTCATTCTGGACGTTAATTCTATTAGAACTTCGTTCTGGACGTTAATTTTATTAGAACTTTATTCTGGATATTAATTTTATTAGAACTTCATTCTGGACGTTAATTTTATTAGAACTTCATTCTGGATGTTAATTTTATCAGAACTTCATTCTGGATGTTAATTTTATTAGAACTTCATTCTGGACGTTAATTTTATTAGAACTTCATTCTGTATGTTAACTTTATTAGAACTTCATTCTGGATATTAATTTTATTAGAACTTCATTCTGGACGTTAATTTTATTAGAACTTCATTCTGGATATTAATTTTATTAGAACTTCATTCTGGACGTTAATTTTATTAGAACTTCGTTCTGGATATTTATTTTATTAGAACTTTATTCTGGATGTTAAGTTTATTAGAACTTCGTTCTGGATATTTATTTTATTAGAACTTCATTCTGGATGTTAATTTTACTAGAACCTCGTTCTGGATGTTAATTTTATTAGAACTTCATTCTGGATGTTAATTTTACTAGAACCTCGTTCTGGATGTTAATTTTGTTAGAACTTTATTCTGGATATTAATTTTATTAGAACCTCGTTCTGGATGTTAATTTTATTAGAACTTTATTCTGGATATTAATTTTATTAGAACCTCGTTCTGGATGTTAATTTTATTAGAACTTCATTCTGGACGTTAATTTTACTAGAACTTCATTCTGGATGTTAATTTTATTAGAACTTCGTTCTGGACATTAATTTTATTAGAACTTTATTCTGGATATTAATTTTATTAGAACCTCGTTCTGGATGTTAATTTTATTAGAACTTCGTTCCGGACGTTAATTTTATTAGAACTTTATTCTGGATGTTAATTTTATTAGAACTTCATTCTGGACGTTAATTTTATTAGAACTTCATTCTGGACGTTAATTTTATTAGAACTTCATTCTGGATTTTTTTTTTTGTAAACTTGATACTAAATTTTTCTCTGAAACTTTTATTTTAGACCAACAGGATCCAAAAGAAGAACAGAGTCTAACAGACTTCAATCCTTATATAGGTTATTCACCAGTTTCTTATTGCAATTTTCCATTCCACCTAAATGGACTGGAAAACTCCAATGAGAATCCAGACTCAGCGTTTCATTATCTATACTGATAAATGCTTGATGAACTAAAAGGAAAAGACTATTATGGGTTTAGGCTCCGCCCCCTTCTGCTCACTAGTCCAGTAACATAAAGAACGTGAGTGTGCATAAGAGAGTGAGAGAGTGAGAGAGCGAGAGTGAAAGAGTGATCGCGTGAGAGAGAGTGAGTTTAAAGTTGAAGGTGACGTAGACCCTTTAGCTGTACGTGTGTTTAATCATTAACCCTTCAGTGGAGGTTTAAAGCGCTCTGCTCTTCAGGGAGCAGCCACTGAGGGCTCGACTCCTCCAGGAGCTTCAGCCAGAGACTCAAACCAGCCAGAGAAACTGCACCACTGTGGACAGTCCAGCAATCATGGGCTACTTCTGGTTCTTCTCTGCTGAAACGTGGGCGCTCCTGCTGCTGTTTATAAGCCTGTTGGTTCTGTAAGTACATTAAATATTATTTTTATATTCATAAAGCAGAACATGGTCAGCACTGGTTCAGTATATTTTGCATTTTTGTTTATTTTTCTCAAAATTAGTAGCAAAATAATGGGAAACTCACTCATCATCAACTTATATATCACAGATTTTAATATAAAAAGATGTGCAGTAATGCTATAAGATTCCTATAATATTACCATAAGTATATCCAAAATTATATTGCTCTTCTTTTTCTTATTTTTCTGCCTGATTTTTGTACAGTTTTCAAGATCTCGATACTGTTTCAGCTCCAGAATATATGGTCTGATAGCAACCACATAGCAATACCTTAACAACCACCTGGGATACCATAGCAACCACATAGCAACACCCTAGCAACCACCTAGGATACAATAGCAACCTCATAGCAACACCCTAGCAACCACCTGGAATACCATAGCAACCACATGACAACACCTTAGCAACCACCTGAAATACCATAGCAACCACATAGCAACACCTTAGCAACCACCTGGGATACCATAGCAACCACATAGCAACACCCTAGCAACCACCTAGGATACAATAGCAACCTTATAGCAACACCCTAGCAACCACCTGGAATACCATAGCAACCACATGACAACACCTTAGCAACCACCTGAAATACCATAGCAACCACATAGCAACACCTTAGCAACCACCTGAGATACCATAGCAATTACCCAGCAGCACCCTAGCAACCACCTGGGATACCACAGCACCCATCCAGCAGCACCTTAGCCACCACCTGGGATACCATAGCATACCGTGTTATTAAATCATTTTCAGATATGGATATTGGCCCCATGGTTTCTTTAAGAGGATCGGAGTTCCTGGGCCTAAACCTTTACCCTTCATTGGGACCATGTTAGAATATAAGAAGGTGAGCTAGAAAACATCACAAGCTTATTATTAATATTTTCTGGTGCGTTTACAGCTGACTTATTATATTTAATATAATTATTCACACATTTTGTTATGTTTGTATGATGTTTTATATTGTATGTTATATTTTATATAAAAGCATTGTTTTATATCATCGTATTTTCAGGGATTCCATGGTTGTGATTTGGAGTGCTTCAAGAAGTACGGAAGAATTTGGGGGTGAGTTTCCTGAATACCTTAAACCAAATATTATCAGGTGAGCACCAGAAACTATGTGGTGAGCACCTGATACTATCATGTGCTCAACACAGTATCTGATTCTCACCTGATAACATCTGGTAGGCGCCTAAAAGTATCTGGTATCCACATAATAAAGATAATAGATACTATGTGGTAAGCACTCAATACTACCAGGTGTGCACTCGATAGCAGCATGTATACACTAGAGACTATGTGGTGAGCACGTGTATCTGGTGCGCATCTGATAGTATCGGGTGCTCACTACATAGTTTCAGGTGTGCACCTGATTGTTATATACAGCGTCTCTGTAAATGGAAGTTAATTAAAGTAGATTTTTTAAAAGTAATTTTAAAGCATTTCTGGTCATCATGAAATTTGAAAAGGAATGAAATTTTGAAATTATGCAGAAAAAGTCAAATCAAAATATGATATGTAATTTATACACACATCACTGTTGGAGTGTTTTTTTTTATTTTTTACAGAATTTGAAAATGCCTGCTGCTCTTTACAATGTGTTGAATTTCATGATAAATGGACCAATAGAAGTGCTTTAAAATTACTTGGGAAAAACCAAAACCAAGTTTTTTTTCTTTCTCCTGTAAAGGTAGCATTTTGCAGATACGAAGCTCTGTGTTCACAGTGATATGTTATATATATTTATATCTGCATTCTGTAATTTACTGTATCTTTTATGTATTTTTACACACACTACATTACCTATAGGAGCTGTTCTGTACTGTACGTATATATCAGTGAAGCTTTCTGAGAGTCTTGTTGACTTTGGCATGTTCATTCATGTCCAGGTTCCTGATAGTTAATGTAGTGCTGGCACGCATAGCCTGATAACGTGTTTATAACAGCACAGTCCTGTATCACACTGTGACTCGGCTACTTTCACTCTGAGAATGACTGAATATCCCCAGGCAGAACACAGCAATTTACACCAGGTTATGCAACAACAGCCTGATGATCTTTGGCTTCAGCGAGATACAGAATCGCTGATAAACCATAATCTTATTATTGAATCACTGTAGCTGTTCCTGAATAGACGCATCATAAAATCTATATTGATATGAAATATCTACATAAAGACGTGTCCTGTTCTGAGCTCAGGAAAGAGGCAGAGAAGAAACGAATCCTGTGTTTTCAGAGAAACATGGCTGTTTTTGGAATTTTGTGAAAAAAAGTAAACAATCAATCAACTGTCGGATCCAGGCTCCGCCCCCAAACATGTTCTTTTGTAGGTACTGTTTGGAGCTGAACATTAGTACAAATGAATTTTCTTTGTCCAAAATTCATAAATTATTCACACTGGACCACAAAAATGTTTGTTTAGAATACAACACATTACTCTAGTATTTAACTTACCATATATATTGTATTTATAGGGCTATGTTTATATATGCATGTATATATCATTCATAGATATATCTATAATTGTGTATATATTGTTCATATAGTTATATATTTCATAGATACGTCTTATTTATGCCTGTTATTTATGCCTATTTGTCTATCTATCTATCTATTAGAGTCTTTACATAATGTTGAGTTTCGGGTTTAAAATTTGCACTACCGAGACTGGTGTTGTAGCTAATCGAAACTAGATAGATAGATAGATAGATAGATAGATAGATAGATAGATAGATAGAACTTTATTGATCCTGAAGGGAAATTGCAGTGTTACAGTAGTGAGACATATAATTGCACATAAACTTACATAAATTAGGCAGAAATAGAAAAACAGACATAAATTAAATTAAACTATGAAAGAGTAGGAACACGTATATCTATAAGTATATCTATTTCATATTTAGTAAGTATATCTGTTGCATATTTATATAGCATGTAAGACAGATTTGTTGTATTTACATGACAGCAGGTGTTGCACTGAGTGATATGAGGTAGTTGCAACAGTTAGAACTAGGCTGACTGGAAACACCATGCTAACATTAGCTTAATTACACAAAGAAACAAAATCTATCCAATCGTAGTTTGTAATTAATAACAAAGAACTTTGTTACAAAATATTAATTTCGGATAGATCAGTTTACATTCACTTCCCTGCAGAAAAACCCATAGACACCATTAAGTGTTTCTGTTGGTTCCTGATGGTTTTGTAATGTGTTTTGGCTTTTTTAATGGGTTGATATCACGGTGTAAAGGATCCTAATGGTTTAACATGTGACCAAAGGCTGATTCTAAACGCATTTGATGGATTCCTAATGGGATCTAAAGGTGTTCTACAGGAAACTAGTGGTAATTTAACCATTGCGCCAATTCCCATTAGGTTTTAATCCTATTTTTAGTCCTTTTTCAGCAGGACTGGAGCTTTTAAACAAAACCTAACATCACGCAGCCAGTCTAAGCAAACATCACAGCCGTCTGATTTAAACAAAAAAACTGCAGGTGGCAAATTTGTTATTGTTTCCAAACGGCCTAGTTTCGCTAGATTACCTACAAAACTACAGTCCAGCTCAGTAGCACAGCATTTTAAACTGGACTCTCAACATGCAGCAAATCTAACCAGCTGCTTTAGAGGTCTGATGTAAACAGTTCAGGCATTAGACACAGAAACAAAGACCGAGTGGAGTTTTTGTCCAATCTCACCACAGTAGCTATGAAAGAGCCCGTTTGTGGGCGGGGCCTGAGCTCGGCGAGGGCTGTGATTCTAAATCTGATTTCTTTTCCAGTATATATGATGCTCGACAGCCGGTCCTGTGTATCATGGACAAAGACATCCTGAAGACCATTCTGGTCAAGGAGTGCTACTCCCTCTTCACCAACAGACGAGTACGCTTCACCACCTCATTCAGGAGAACCGTGAACCTGGAGAACATGTCTAATATTTCTCATTAGGAGACTGTTGTTATTGTTTCTAGACATTCTATTTTAGATAGTCTATTTTATCTAGAGAAATGATCTTACTTCATTGGCAGGTGATCTACTTTCTCTATGAGAAATATTATACAGACACTCTTTAAAAAGAGGGTTCCTTAGTAAAGGGAATGGTTCCACCAAGGACCAGGAGTTCTACTTAGAACAATTTCATGCCTAAATGGTTCTTAGTATGGTAAAACGGTTCTTCTCTCTGGTGAAAGATGTTTTGTATATAGATCTGTATAGAACCCTTTATGAAAATGGTTTTATACAGCACCAAACAGGGTTCTTCTATTGTTAGCGTGTCAATTAAGCATAATGTCACAATAGTGGAACCTTTTTTGGTGCTATATAGATCCATATACAACATATTCTCCATCAATCTGAAGAACCGTTTCACTATGCAGAGAACCATTTAAGAATTAAATGGTTCCATATAAATAATAGAACTTATGGTTTTAAATAGAATCATTCCCTTTACTGATGAACCATTCAAGAACCATCTTTTTAAGAGTGTAGAAGCAGATTTACTAACGTTTGGCAGGTTTTGCATGTTTGGAAACTCTATTTTGGTGTTAAAACATGGCTATCGCAATTAACTGCCGGCCACCAGGGGGAGTCAACGACCCAATCCAGCCAAATGAGCCACACCTGCTCAGGGGGCTTTATAAGGGCTGGGAACAAGACACACTTTGCTGAGTCTTTGTTTCAGAGTTCTGGCAAACAGACCGGCCGGTAGTCTCGGGTAGAAGCTCTAGAGAATTTCTCTTGAGCTTCTTTCTCTCTGTCACTTCTCGAGCCTGTCCTCTTTCTCAAGTTGTGTCTTGCTTCCTTTAGAAAGAAACGTAAAGCAGGAGAAGGAACAAGTTTGTCCCTTTCTCCTCTTCGCTCTCCTTCGGGCATCCTCTTCTGTTGGGAAAGTAGTTTATTTCAGTTAGCCTTTCCTCGGTGTTTGAGAGAGCCAGTCTTTCCCCTGGCGTCCTTTGTTCTGTTCCCACCTAAGCCTTAGTAGGTGGGTTTTCATACTGCCTTTTGTTTTCCACCCGTTTTGGGGCGTTCCCTTTTAAGGCGAACCCTTCCTGCACCACGTGACGTGGCCTCTATAGTGCAGTGGGTTCGAGCCCCGGTATCCACTGTTTAATATATAATTTCAATCATACCTTCCAATCACACAGAAGCTTTTGGGTCCCACCTTCCAAAACCCTGTGGTGGGTCACCCAGTTGGCCTCTGAAACACCACCCAGATGGCCTTGGTTCCAATCCCACCTCTGGCAAGCCACCTCATTACAGTAATAACTCTAATTATTTCACAATCATGAGAAAACAAGTCATTGTTTTGAGATGACAAGTCAAACTTTCAAATAATTAGTCAAAATATGGACATACTGAGATACGTTTCTCTTCACTACCTGATGGAAACAAGCGTCTATACAAAAAGCTCATGATGTGATTATACAGCTCTGGTCATATGTTCAGTGGAAAGTTGTGTTTGTGTTCATTTTCATGAAAGTTCTATAATAGATTAGCCGTTTAGTTGGGCGGCGCCACCACCAGCGTAATGTCAGTAGACTGTCAGTAATCAGCGCCTCTCTTAGTAAATCTGCCTCATATTGACTGGGTTTAAGATCAAGGCGTCATTTTTTGCACTGTAATAAAGTAAAATTAGTTGTTTTGATTCAGATGGTAATTAAACTGTAAATGTTGTATTAACAGCTGTAAATGATTTAGCTGAATCTGTAGATCGAACTGAAAGCTTTCTTCATACCTTCTCAGGCTGTAAGCAGGTCGTCTAACGGTGCCCCTCTTTAATTCAGAATTTCCGTCTGAACGGCCCTCTGTACGACGCCGTGTCCATCGTGGAGGACGACGACTGGAGGAGAATCCGCAGCGTTCTGTCTCCGTCCTTCACCAGCGGACGACTGAAGGAGGTGCGTGAGCTCTAAGGACGGGACGATATGATGAAAACATGATATCACAATAACATTGACAACATTTTCATGTCACAGCACGTATCACAATATTTAGTTTTCCTGAAGTTTGGTAGATTGGATCAGACACAATGCTGTCAAAAGGCTATCAAAGACCGAGTGTACAATGAATTCTCTTAATTCTAACTGCTACGCTCATTTGCACTACTGTTCAAACGTTCAAAAGTTATTAATAACTGTTATTCAATAATAACTTGTACAGTGTGCATTGAAACTAGACACCAAAACACAAAATGATGGTTTCATCTCAGTTCAACCCCTAAAATCTCAGGCTTATTACATACTAAGGCTTAGTATTCAGTAACTACAGGGACTTCAAAGCAAACTGGCTAAGCTGTTCTTAGATTACAGAAGTGTGTGATAAAACTTTGGACCCACCGACAGACGCTGACCATTTAAGGAGTTAAAGCATTTTGGGAACAATGAGAAGCTATGACATGGCAAAAAAATATTTCAACATTTTTAGCATTAAACTCTATTGACCTATTTATTGCAATTTATTGTTGCAAAATTAGAATGAAAAATATATTTTCAAAAATGAGGCATGATGGAGATCTACAGTTCTGTTAATCATCAAATCAGAATTTTACTGCTTTGTACAATTTGTTCGTAACCCATGCAATATGAGCATCATATTATAATCATTTATACATGATTATACATGTATCTCTACTAAGGATCATTTTATATTAATGAGAACAGTGATCGCAAACAATTGATTGGTAGTTTAAACTATTATTTAATATGATGTCTTGCTGGGACCTCAGAGAGCCTCCGAAACCTCTTATATTTTAAAACCTCTTTAATAGTGGTATAGTGTAGTGGCTAACAGCACAGCAAAGCAGGGTTTGATTCCCCACCCAGGCTCTAAACCAATAAGTGTCCTCAGGCAAGACTGCTGGTGCTACATTCACCCACACTGACCATTCCCATCATATATTCTGAAAAACACGTTGTAATGTCATTTACAACACTAAACATTGTCGTATTGACCAACCCCACTTTCCTCATCTCAAAGCCCCATTGCTATGATACGATTTTCTTTTAAAGGGGACCTATTATGCTTGTCCAGTTTTTCTCTTTGCTTTAGTGTGTTGCAGCATTTTGTGGATGTAAATGTTCTGCAAAGTCCCAAAGCTCAGCGTTCCCTCCAGAGGGAGAAACTCTCTCCCACTGAACCCACTTTTCTCAGCTGCCTGAAACACCTTGTTGGAATTCCAGCCCTTTTCCTTTGTTACTGGATGACTCAATCTCATAACACAGTTCTTACTGCCCGCCTACTGGCGAGCTCGGCCCCCTCACACAGCGGCTACTGGAGGAAGAAGAGTGTGTTCAGTGCTGTAGCGTGTGGAGAGACACTGACCGGACTTTCAGGATCCACTCTGGATCAAACTGATCCGGCAGAACCGACACCACTGGAGAGACAGCCACAGCGGAGTTACAGCTGCTCAGGAGAGAAGGGTCTGTCTGCAGACTCAAATCTAGACTGTAAATCTATTGTAGTAGACCAAGAATAAAATTATGAACATTGAAAATGAACATAAAGGGTTTCCTTTAAGATACTAAATGATTAGAAAATCTTATGTTTCATCACTGATGCCAGAGCAGAAATGGTAGCACATCTTTAGTTCTGGTCATTTCATCACTTTCATTCAACATCAGTATTTTTGGGGTCTCACTTATTTTCCATAATGATAAACTTCCATTGAGATTAACAACAGTTAGTTCAAGGGGGTTCATTACTGTGTGTTTCCTCAGATGTTCGGCATCATGAAGATGCACTCTCGCACTTTAGTGGAAAATCTAGACAAGACATCGAAGCGAGGAGAAGCAGCAGATGTTAAAGAGTAAGTGGACATGGATGAGCAATAGATGTGCAAGTCTGTCCTATATGTGCTAGCATTCCTAAAATACCAATAAAAATACCAATAACAAATCATGATATATTTACTACCAGGGTATCTTATGTATATTTCAATTTAGTTGAAAATTAATTTCTCACATTTTCTGATTTGACAATATTAACTATATTTTCAGGTTCTTTGGACCGTACAGTATGGATGTGGTGACTAGTACAGCATTTAGTGTTGATATTGATTCTCTAAACAACCCCAACGACCCTTTTGTAACCAACATCAAGAAGATGCTCAAATTTAACGTATTCAACCCTCTTTTCCTCATTGTTGGTAATGCATTATTTGTATATCCTAAAGTTGTACAAACCCCAAAACAGGACAAGATATATAATGTTTTATCTTATCAACTGCAACATTTTTTTAAATATACACTAATTTGGAAATTGATGCCTGCAACATGTTCCAAAAAAGCTCAGAGAGGGGCAATTCAAGACTAATAATATTGAATTTAAAAGGAGCTTCCAGAAAAGGCTGAGTTTTTTATGAGGGAGGATGGCTCGAGGCTTGGCACGTTGCAAAAAAATGCATCAGCAAATAGTCCAGCTGTGTAAGAACAACATTCCTCAGCCAGAGTTTGCAAGATTTTTTTGCATTTTTTTCCGCTACAATGCATAAAAACATTAAAAGATCAAGGGAATCTGGAGAAATCTCTGTACATAAGAGAAAAGGCCAAAAACCGAATCGAATACCTGTGATTTTCGACCCCTCAGATGGCACTGCTTTAAAAACTGGCATGTTTCTGTGATTGATATCACATATGGGCTTCGGGAATACTTTGACAAACTGTCCTCAAACACTGTTCTTCATCGCATCCACAAATGTAAGTTAAGACTGTACTGTAAACAGTGGAGGTCATATAACAACAACATCCAGAAACGCTGCTGACTTCTCTGGGCTCAAGCTCATCTGAAATGGAAATGGAAATGTGTATTGTGGTCTGATGAGTCCAACTTTCAGATTGTTTATAGAAATAATGGACATCATGTTTCATCCAGCATAAATATCTAAATCCAGTGTCTGTCATGCTGTGGGAGGGTAACCTGCACATCTGTGAAAGCACCGTTTACACTGAACACATTTTGGAGCAACATATGCTGCCTTTCAGATGCTGTCTTTTTCAGGGCTGACCATGTTCACTTCAACATGACGACACCAAGAAACATTTTGTACATCACACCAGCATGGCTGTGTAATCAGAGAGTGCAGGGGCAAGAATGACCTGCCTGTCTCTAATTGAAAATATATGGCGCATTATGAAAATGCCCCATACAGTTGCACAGCTGAAGGATGGCAAAACTCTCGGATCAATTTGTTTCTTCAGTCCCTAAGTGATTGTTAAGTGTCGTTAAAAGGAAAGTAATGCAACTCAGTGGTAAACATGCTCCTGTCCCAGCTTTTTGTAATGTATTGCAGGCATTAAATTTGGAGCACATATTTACCAAGAAATGTGCTGCATAGAGTGCTTGGCTTTCCATAAATTTATGATTTTAAATACCACCAATCTCTGTATATTTGATCTTACTTACTTACCTTAATATCTACATTTAATGTTTATTATTCATGGAATTACTCAGCACACTGCACCATGCCAACTTCCTGAAAACATTATTAAAACATCAGGTTTCCTGCTAGAGATAAGTTAGCAAGTTCTTCCAATAGATTTCCATTCATCAACTTAATACAACTGTGAGGAAAAAGCTCTTAGGATAAGAAGTAAAATGACAGTTGTTTTGGTTTCCTTTTTTTTAGTACTGTTCCCCTTCGTCACACCTCTGCTGGAGAAAATGGACTTTTCCTTTCTCCCAACGGCAGTGACTGATTTCTTTTATGCTTCTCTGCAGAAGATCAAGTCAGAACGTGTAGCCAAGGACCACAAGGTACATCCTTCAGAATGTAGAAAAGAAATATCTGAGAAACTAAAAACATCTTTTTTACTTTGCATTCTCACTTCAAGTTGCCTCAGTCCTCTTCATTTTATTTGGATTTTTAGCAATGTTTCTTTGTTCCTTACTTCCTGCAGAAGCGAGTGGACTTCTTGCAGCTGATGATAGATTCTCAGAAATCAGGAAAATCAGAAAAAGAAGATGGCAAAGAATCTTTGCATGGTATTACTTTTAGTCCATTAAAAGAGCCGTGATTAGCTTCGATCTTCATTGTAGAAATTATACAGACAATGGCAAACTGATATTCTATCCTGCTGCTGCCAGGGGCAACAGTCTGCAGACTGCAGTGGTAACCGTAACGCTCCCTTAAGAGTTCAACTCGTACCTCGTCAAGAGGTAACATGTACAAAGAAAAGAACAAGGGCCCTAAAACTGAACACTGTGGGTTAAATCTTTTTGATGAATGATTTCCTAGTGAAACCAAGAATTGTCTATGCATTAAATATGATTTAACCATTCCAAAGCTACCTCAGAGGCCTACCCAATATTCAAGGTGGTTGAATAGAAACTGATCAGTGATCAGTAGTATCAAAAGCTGCAAGATGCAATAAGACCAAAATAGAAGGATTTTTGTGTCAGTGCTGAGCCCGAGGTCATTCACAACAGAAACTAATGCTGACTCTGTATTATGATTAGAAAGATGTTTGATATTAGATATGCATTTAATTGTCTGAAAGTAACTTTTTCTAAGACTTTACCTAAAAAAGGAAGATTGGAAGTTGGTATAAAATTATTTAGTATAGAAGGATCCAAGCTACTATTTGTCAGTAGGAGCTTCACTAAGGCAGTTTAAAAGCATCTGGAAAATCACCCACTGACAGTTTACATCACTTTGAACATAATCAAAAACCATCTTAAGGAATGAAGTAGGAACAGGGTCAGGATCACATGTAGACGAACTTGTTTACAACAGTTGTAAGCTCCTGATCATTGATATCAGAAAGAAATCATCACTGATGTAGGTGGCTTATCAGGAAGGTTATTGGAACTTGTTTCAGTTGGCTGAGCTCAACCCTGTCGTATCAGGTCTACTTTATGAACTCCAGGCAAACCCAGTATTATACAACAAAAATAAACTCAAACATTATTCCTATTCACTGATAATACTGTCAGTTTGCACCTACAGAAGAAGTTTCAAACTTTGATAAGTCATAACTTTTTGCTAGATGCATAGAGATTTCAGAGATTATTCTTCACATGAGTGTCTTGCTACCAAATTACAGAAGACACAGAGAAACATGTTTGCTAACTATCGCTTACTGCAAATCTGGAAAAACGTAATCATCCATTTAGACCCGTAAACCACGGTCACCATGCTGCCGTCGGCGTATACAGATATGAGGTGCAAACATTTGAATGCATCATTAGACTCGTTTGGGATTGTCCTTTTATGTCCTTTTTTATGTTTGTCCTTTTATGTCCTTGTTTATGTATGTTTTATCTTTCTAGGTCTGAGTGATCATGAGATCCTGTCCCAATCAATGATCTTCATCTTCGCTGGTTATGAGACGAGTAGCAGCACGCTGTCCTTCTTCTTTCATAACATAGCAACCAACCCAGACATGATGAAGAAGCTTCAAGAAGAGATCGACCAGACCTTCCCCAATAAGGTAACTGACTCTCTTTTTCAGTGCACTTGCACAAAAGCATAAATGCTGCAAACAAATGGCGAAAACATGGATGTCAAAATTATTATTGCAGACTGCATTTCTGTTTAGACTGTGGATTTGGTGTCTTGTCTAATTCTCTGACCTTAGAGAGGTGAACTTGAGTTAAAATGATTGTGTGTGAACAGCAAACACAAAGTTACAGGTATTTCGGACAAAAATTCCAGTGCATTACCTGTACAATAGAAAGTGAAAAGACCCTAGAGTATACCCCTGAGGAACTCCAAACCAAACTGAACAATTGTAGTGTACTGAAAAGCAGGAATTATATCTAAATAAATGTTTTCTTTAAATAGCTACAACAATAAACAACAATAAACTATGTAAAAGACAACATTATTAGTCAACTGCAAACATGATTTGTGTCTTGTTTTCTAGGCTCCAGTTCAGTACGATGCAATGATGAATATGGAATATCTGGACGCTGCTCTGAATGAATCGCTCAGGTTATACCCTGTTCTTACTCGGCTTGAAAGAGTCTGCAAGAAAACGGTGGAGATTAAAGGCCTGACCATTCCCAAGGACTCCGTTATTGTCGTTCCTGTCTATCCTCTCCATAGAGACCCAGAATACTGGCCTGACCCTGAAACCTTCAACCCTGAGAGGTAGAAAGCTAATCAAAAAAAGACAGAGTGTTACGCATTGCATTGTTTAGAATTATATTTACAGGAAAATTATTACACAAGTTTGGCTTGTCATATTAATACTTTCTGTTATTTTATGGCCAACAATAACTTTACAATATTATAAAGCTGTTTCTTTAGATGATTTATTCAATATTTTAAGTTTTTCATCAGATTTGATTACCGCTTTGGGTCATTACATTACATTATAAAACATTCTCGAGACGTTTTTCAATCTTTTTGTCTGGGCAGATTTGAATTTTTCTGGGGATTTACTTTACAATATCTAACGAGGTAGCCCTTTCAAAGCTCTCTAATACTCTTCTATCTTGTTTTCCCCTCCTGTGTAGGTTCACTAAGGAGAATAAGGAGAGTATAGACCCCTATGCCTTCATGCCTTTCGGTGCAGGACCCAGGAACTGTATCGGAATGAGGTTTGCTCTGGTGTCCATGAAGCTGGCCATCGTAGAGATACTGCAGAGATTCGATGTCAACGTTTGTGATGAGACAAAGGTCAGCCTACTCTAACGCTAATAATGAAATGACTTTTTAATGATAACTTCTCTTTAACAGTATTAAAGAATCTAATCTGGGTTAAAGCCTTACTTCCTGTACCTCCACTATGATCAGGTCCTCTGCAGCATTGCAGAGGAGAATTGCAGGCATCAACGGGAATTACTACAATGTTTACCCTTTTCTCCCAATTTTTACTGCACTGCTAGTGTTCATGTAGTTTTACGTAAATATCTACCTATTTACACGACAGCTTTTTTTGCTGGTAAAAGTACTAGCAAGAATTTTCTAGACCAGTGGTAACCAACCCTGGTCCTGGAGATCTACCTTCCTGCACACCTGCTCCAGCTCATTAACCTCTTCAGAAGTTTTTAATTTGTTGGATCAGATGCTGTAGTGTTTGGCCAGGTAGGGTGCAGCATAGTCAATGCTGGCTGGAGCCAAACTCTGCAGGAAAGTTGATCTCCAGGGCTAGGCTGGGTGACCACTGTTCTAGACTTTGGATCTCATTGTTGCCTCTTTCTTTCTAATTAGGTTCCTCTAGAGCTGGGCTTCACTGGACAGCTGTCTCCAAAAGACCCCATCAAACTCAAATTCACCCCCCGAAAACTGTCCCACCCTGAAGACTTTCACAACAACTATGCTAGCTCATAGGCTCTTTGCACATGTGGATGCCTTTACTTCTCTAAGGCATTACGTCATTTTTTTGGTGTTCTTCAAGTGTAGCAGTTTGTATTTGAAGGAAAGTCGATATTAAACCCAAATTCATGTTAACATCTTGGTAATGTCATCTTTTTCTATTTATATTTACTTTTGTGGGTGTTAATTGACCTGCTTATACTCTACTGTTCTCCATATCTGGATGTCTACTACTGTGATTGCAGAAAAATTAACCTAAGATTTTATTTTATGTATAGATAAATACAAAGACATTGCTGCAGTAGGAGAGATTCAGTAGTACCTGCACTATTGAGATATGTGGCCATGGGGCAACTACCATTTACACCCATTACACACAAACATGCAGACTTTGATATATCAACATTGTAAAGCTGCAGTTTTGACTGCCTTATCCACTGCAGCAACATCCTAGATCTCTTAGACGCCACAGAAAAAGTTTCAAACTTTGATAAGTCATAACCTCTGGATTATTGATGCTAGATGCATAAAGCTTTCAGTGGTTATTCTTTGCTTAATGCTACCAAAACACAGAAGACACAAACACATGTTTGCCATTTTATGGCCTGCTACAAATCAGGAAACTTTTTCTCACAGGGAGCATCTTTATATATATCCACACTGAAGTAAATCAGATCTTTCAAACTGTGACATGTGCTACTCATTCCACAGTATACCTCTGTCAGTTATGTTTTGGTCTTAAAACAGCAAAGCTTTAACATTAAAAAAATTAACATAAAAAAATCTTGCTCAGGTCAACCTATGGAAAAACCTCCCAGATGACCATCACAGATTTACTTAATATTTTCATGAAATAGTGTCATTGTGCCCAGTAGGCAGTGTGCAAAATTATACGGTTTTATCTTCGTGAGTTTCAGGGGTATACAGGCTTTAAAAAATGGCCGTTGCTTTAATATGAGTGCTATGCAAAACAAGTACAAACTTTCAAAAGTCATAACTTTTGAACTGTTGATCTTTTTCAAATTTTCTCAGAAGCAAACTGTATGTTTTTGAGGTACCATAATGATGCAGCAATGTTACTCACACATCTCTCATCTTATCTAATACAGTTTTGTAACTGTGTAGTATTTAGTGTGTCTATATTACATTCTTTGTTTTGATGCTTTAATAATTATATTTTGATTCAAGATTCCAGTTTCCTATCTGGTACATTTATTAACTGAAATATGCTCTTTCTAATGACAGGCATGAGATATTGAGGCTTTGAAAATGTGGCTTTTTTGCCTTAAAATGAGTGCAAGGAAAAAAGTAACTCTGAGACTAAAATAAGTCATATCTTTTGAACTATTTATGCTGGATGCATAAACTATACAGGGAATATTCTTTGGTTTTCAATGTGTTTAACAACCAGAACAGATCATTCATTAAATTGATGTTAGCTATTTCATAGTAACATGCAATAAATTTGCAGTCAATTAAAGGTCTAATATAACTCAGTGTGGAGGCAGAAATATGTATATTGCCACACCAAATTATATCAGATCTTTAATATCTTATATTTATTTCTCACATCACAGTATTTTTATGATAAGGTATTAATCATAAAGTAATAAATGTTTCTGAATTATAAGCTGTTAAAAATAAGAACAATCACATACTTTAAATGCTTGTTACTCATGTTTGACAAAGTCTAGCATAAAATTAATACCATTGGGAAAAACAGCATTGCACAAATATGAAAGTACTATCTTGTTTGGTTCTGTTTTTCTCTTTTTGGATGCTTTTGGTGTAAAATAAAAAGGTAAAGCCTAAAAGTGAGCAGAGTGGAGGTCTATGATAAGCTGCACTTTTATACAAGCAGCATGGCCGTTTCAGCACAGCCTTCTGTGCTTCTGAACTAAATCCATTTCCCACATGAAAGATTTGAATACTGTGATTAAACGGTTGTTTGACATAGTATTTTGGAAGCTGTCATTACTCTGATTAGCCATCCTTTGCTTTACATTCAGTGATAGTTCACTGTTTATATATGCAGTTGAGAATTGTCAGTTTGTATCGCTTGGATCATTCTAATGTATTTGTTACTATAAGATGAATTAGTAAAGAGCTAAAATTTATATTTGTTATTTCAGTTTTCACAAGATAAGAGACACGCTGGAAGCTCATGTTGCTCAAGACACAGAAGCAAAGAACACTGAACTTTACTTTGGCGCTTGTCTTCATTCAAGCTTTCAAGATCTCACTGTTTAGCTATCTATCGATTCGTGCAAACCACACATGGAGCGGACAGAATAGTAAAAAAGCAGCATCACAATGGGGTCAACACAGCAGCCCTTTCAAGAATTCGTCGTTAAAATGCTTTCCAAAAGCTCCAGTACGTCATTTGGGACAGCCCTGCTACTCTCATCTAAATCCAGCTGGGCCACAGCAAATTCAAGATTTGGATGGTAACTGCCAAGATACATGCTAGAGCAGAAGCAGCACATGCTCGCTCTACTAAAACAGAAACTGAGCTTATGGTAGAAAGGGCCAAACTGAAAGTGCAGGAGGCACAAATGGAAGCCACATGAACCACTCCATAAAAAATGAAAAAGAAGTTGCAGCTGCTTTGGCAGATGCTGAAACTCTTGAATTTGCTGTGGCCCAGCTGGATTTAGGTGAGAGTAGCAGGGCTGTCCCAGGCATATCTCTTGATTCTAAAGGAAAGAAGACAAGCAACTATGTTGAATGTCACTCCACATTACATTTTCATCAGCAATCTTAGAATAAGCAAAACATCCTGCTTGATCAATCCCACAATGGATAGCTCACAGCAGCCAGTACAAATTAGAGCACCAAGTTCCATTTCCACCATTTTCATTCTTCACTCAGTGTGTCTGCAGAGAGGCTCACACTCAAAATGACCCTATCTTCATTCTTAGCTGATCTGGTAGTGTAACAGCTAAAGTAGAGCATCCCCCAAAAATTGGGCTACTCCAAGGCCCAACTTTTTTCATCCATTTTTCCTTGTTTCTACCATGTCTGCCAACAGCGAGCCAGATGTTGATAGGCATTGTCCAATCCATAAAAACCTCATCCCCTCAAGCGCTGCAGAGGCTTCAGAAGCAAGTCCATTGAGCAACGTAAAGCATTTCTCAAAGAAAGAGGTACATGATTCAGGTGCTGCTTGTAAAGTGGTCACTTGGCTAAGGATTGCAAGGTAGCCATCTTGTGCAAAAAGTGAGGGGGCACTGAACACATTGCTGCCCTTCATCCTGGTCTAGCCCCATGGATGCATAAAAGTCCTGACATTGAGCATGGCGGGGAAGAAAAAAGAGTCACCTTCCATAGATGTCAAATGCACAGAGGTCTGTGGAGACGTCAGTGTCTCTAGATCTTGTTCGAAAATCTGCTTTGGAAAGGTGCTTCCCATAGGTCAATCTGATAAGGCTATGATGAACAAAAAAGTAACAGAACTTGCTAAGCCAGAGTTCTTTGACGAGTCTGAAATACCAACTCCCAAGGTTGCAAAGTAGTATTCCCGCTCCCGAGTGGCGCAACCATCTAAGCGTTGGCCCTATCATCAGGAGGTCGCGAGTTCGATCCCTGGTGATGATACAGCCGTCCGTAGCCGGGAGTCCGAGAGAGCACAATTGGCCTCGCTCTCTCTGGGTGGGTGGGATGGCTGCCCTTCTCCCCCCATCACTCACTCAGTGCAATGCTAGTCAGCGCAGGCGTCTGTTAGCTGACGTAACAGATCTGGCGGTTGGCGCTTTCCTCCGAGCGCGTTCAGCTGTCCAATGATGTTGCGTGAATGGCAGCTCGAAAAGAAAGCAGTGGCTGGCTTCACAGGTCTCGGAGGAAGCCTGTGTTAGCTTTCACCCTCCTAGCGTTGATAGCATCGTGTGATTGGGGGAGTCCTAACTAGTGGGGTGGAATTGGCTACAACTAAATTGGGGAGAAAATCGGGGTAAAAATTTAAAAAAAAAAAAAAGTAGTATTCCCATGGCAAGTCCATCGCACATCTCATTCCCCCAATTGATCTTGATGCACAGATTCTCCTGTCTTGTGACGTTCTTCAAATTCATAAGGTGAGAGACCAGTGGAATGGCCCACACAACATCCCTTATGTTCAATAGCTTGATCTTGGCTGGGTAGTGATTGGAACGTCTGTTTGGGTGCCACTCACAAGCCAGAAGAATGGCCGTCCTTCTCTTTTTTGCTCTTGCCTAAGTTATCTCTGTTAAAAGAGAATTTCAGCACAAAGGACAACTTTGAAGTCCCATCCAGCCTCCAGACCTTTCTAAAGCCTCTCTTCTCTTCCTTGCAGACACTGAATGGTGAAATGTGTCCACTGGGAAACACAATCTTTGAGAGAACAAGTGATGACCATAAGAATGCAGCCTCTATTGAAGACAGACAATTCATTCAGTTAATGGACAAAGAGATGTTCTCTGATGATTTCAACAGCTGGGTAGCTCCTCATCCCTTTTGCACACTGAGACTGTGTCTCCCTAGTAACAGAGAGCATGCTTTAAGTCATTTTACCTCCCTCTGTCATTCACCCAAAAGGAAAACCTGAGATGAAGAACCACTTTCTGGCTTAATGCAAAAAATCTTCGATCAGGACCATGCTGAGCTGGCACAAACATTGACAGATGGAAAAGAATTTGCCTACATTTGGGGTATATCACCCACGTAAGCAAGACCAGATTAGAGTTGTATTTGACTCTAGTGCTCTGCACCTTGGCATTTCTCTATTTGATATGTTGTTGACAGGTCCAGACTTAAACAACAGCTTACTAGGAGTTGCTGTTACTGCAGTTATAGAACAGATGTTCCACAGCTTCATTGTGAGGGAAGATCACAGGAATTTCCTCAGATTTCTTTGGTTCCGAGATAATATCATCACCAATGAAGTCGTTCAGTATCGGACGAAGGTCCATGAGTTTAGTAATAGCTGTTTTCTTGCTGTTGCAATCTAGGGCCTCAAATGTACAGCACTTCAAGGCTGAGATTGGCACAGACACAAAACACTTCATACAACAAGATTTCTATGTTGGCGATGGACTCATGTCTCTGCCTTCAGCTGCAAAGGCCATAGATGTACTTGAAAGAGCTCAAGGTATGCTTGCCACTTCCAATCTGAGACTCCA